CATAGATTAATTAAAGGAGGGCAAAAAACTGTCTGAAGAAAAATGATAGAGAAATTACTGGATCAGAAAGAGGATGGAAGACCAGTTCTTAAAGAGTTGGTGTTGGGATCAATTTTGTTTAATGGTCTCCTTAACAATAGCGTAGAAGTAGGAGTGAAATGATGGAAACTGCTGACGACAGAAACTTGGAACACATCATCAAGTATATAGGAGTAGCTGTATTTCAAAGGACAAACTAGCTGCTCTTGATGTTTAGTTTAATTTTTGTATTATAAAGCAGAAAACTTGTATTTAAGAAATAAAAATATTTTCTTGCTGTGAGGTAGAAACACAGCACTTAAAAATATGTAGATTCTGTTACTTAGCTACTCTGAGAATGACTCTGAGCTGCCGGTATGATGAGACTGTTTGAAAAGGCAAATGATTGTAAGATGGTTCAGGAGAAAAGAACAGTTATGAAAGGACTATGTGGTATGGTTGCCTGCGACAGGAGGAATTGAACTCAATGAATTTAAAGTCCTCATCAATATTTCTGTTTCTGTCAATAACACGCCAGAACAACACTCATCCCTTCTTAATGTGGATCTCAAAATAGTCTTTCAATGGCTTTGTTACTGTGGTTTATTACAAGAACATCATCTTGAGGCTTTCTTGAGATCTCCACACAACCTCCAACATGCACAGAATGGTGGCCCATTTCCAGTTGATAAGGGTATGGTTAAAAAGCAAAAAAAAAAGCATTGTGTGTGATTTATCTCGATGAGTTTAGTAATCACTACCATGAGTTAACTTCTTTCAGTTGATACTCTTTAGAAATTCTAAATATTTATGGACTTAATTGTTTAAGATGTCTTCGCTACCCCATCTTCACTGAGGAGGCAGTCAAGGTCAAATAAGCATGTGCAGAGTAAGCCTATGAATATTTCATAAATGGAATAATGGCTTCTTTAGTGGTCTTGTCTAGAATGCACTTGAACATCCATCAGATTTTTAGTCTTACAAACTTCTGAGTAAGATGTGAGAGTTTCTTGTGTTCATTTTTTTGTGGTTTTTTTTTTTGTGATTTATTCTGTTTATAACACAGCTGCTGCTGTAGGGGTAAGAAAACTAAAGTTATTAAATAAACATTTATTTAAAAAAAAAGGCATTCAGAAGTCAAAAGGCATTCAGAAGTCAAAAGGCATGTTTTCTCATTTATCAAGTAAAATATTTCTGGTTTTTTATCTTTCAAATAATTTCTAAGTGTTTAAAAACCAAAAACTTAATATATTTTACGTACTTCAAATTGTTATGGCCGTTTTTGTCAAGAAAGGAAAACAAAATAGTTTTCTGAAAGAAAATGCAGGATATCAATGTATTGATAACTATTCAGTAGATTGCTGCAGTTGCTAAGCCTTTACATAGAAATTTGCATCTTTGTTCTCCCAATATAATGACTGATAATCCTGTTTTTTCAAATGAGAAAATTCTGAAACTAAGATACTAATCTGTGTGCTAATATTAGACACTCTACCAAGTGGATTGATTCTAATTAACAGAGAAGAAACTTCATATTTTTAACATTTTTATGCTAGCCTTTATTTTCTTACAAGAACGTTGCTTGAGTGTCACTGGTAACCATTTATACATGCTAAGTAATGTAGCATTTACTTTAATTTGGTGCTTTTTTTGTTATCCAGAAAGATGTTATATGAATTTCTAAATTAATTAAATTAGAGCATTAGGACATTCTCTATTTTCTAGATATTTTGTTCTTGGGAGATGTTTTCTAATGGTTTGTGTCAAAGTCTGTTTGAGGGAAACAACTGACCTTCCAAATGTGTGACATAATTATTAATTTTTACTCAATCTACCTAACAAAAAAAAAACACAAAACAAACAAACAAACAAAAAAACCAACAAACCCCAAAAAACCCCAAGTTGTGCATATAAAAACTTATTTATTAGATGAAGATAGTGTAGTAAGGGAACAGAACTACATGTTTTCAGTTACCATTTCAGCCAGAAGTTTATAGAACTTTAGAACTGGTCCCCCGCATTGTTTTTCATATGTTGTGAGAGAAGAAAATTACAGGCTCCTCAGCCACCCTCGGAAGAGAAGTTGATAAATTCTGCCATTCGTCTGCTTCATGCTGCTCAGTTCTGAGAATGGTTACGCTGATCCATACCTGAGTCCATCCAGCCCCAGTATTCTGCTTGAAACAGTGGCCATAGCAGACTCCAAGGAAAAGTTCAGTGGAGCAAATGTATTGAATAGTTTGCCCATAACACTCAGACAGTCTTCTACTCTTTTCAGTCTAAGGATTTTTCTGAGCCTGCTTGGGTTTGTCTACTTAGTGTAACCCTCCATAGATCTTTCTTCCAAGTACCTTCCTATTCTGTTCTTGAACATAAGTAAGCTTTATGCATTCAGGTGTCTTTTGTCAAGGAGTCCATTGGGTGGAGAACCACTTTCTTTTGTTTACTGTTGAATCTGATTTCCACAGGCTTCATTTGAAGGCCCATGGCTCTTTTTTTTGGAAAAGGGCATGAACAGTTGGTTCACTGTCTCCATGCTGCTTGTGATTTTTCTAGATAATTTGTGTACCCTCTAGAGGTTAATATATGTTGGAGTTCGGTGGGTTTTTTTAAGGATACTGCCTATCCTATCCTCTTTCCAAATGTGATTCTGAACTACCAGCTTTGTTTCCTTTAAGCTGGTTTCTTTGATTTCCAGGAAGGAGACTTGCAGACTTCCTTCTGTTACATAAGGATTCCTGCTTACGTATGAACATTTCCCTCCCATGCCTTTTAGCTGCCCTTAGCAGACAGTTCCTTTCAGGCTCATAGAAGACATGCAAAAGAACATAGAACAAAAACTTATTCAGTATCTTCTGGGATTTCATTTTATTAATAGAAGTCTACCGTGAGTTGATTGGGAACTTGGCTGTATATGTAGATAGACATCCATACAAGGAAAGATGTAATTTAATTCCTGCAAGTACTTAAGAATTGCTTGGGAAGGCAAGGATGACTTGGCCAGTCTAACATGTATGTGATTTTTTTTTTTTCATATGTGTTGTTAAGAAATAGCGCAGGATGCGTGTGCTGGCCTCACCCCTAAACTTTTGACTGAAAAAAAAAAATCTTTTTATAATAGTTTACATGATAAAAGTTGAAATAAAGACTTAAAAAAAAAAAAATGGCTGGAACGCTGGAGAAAGTAGTATCTACTGCTGACAAAGACGTTCTGCCCTGAGTCTTATTTTGGATATATTATGCCGTCTGTCTCAAGAACAGATTTGGGAAATACCTGATGAGAGATACTCTTCTCGTTGGTACTTTCTTACTGTCAGTGTTAACATTCGCTTCTCTCCTCTCCCCCCAGTCTGAGCTTTGTTTGGCCAAGACTGCTTACTAAAGAAACAGTTTAATTTTTGAAATGATCCACTCAAACTCTGTATATTCTCTTGTGCCTGGAATCTACTATGTGTCGAAAAACAAACAGTACAGTTTATTATCCTGTGTCCAGTGTCCTATGCAGTATTTTTCTTTATATTAATAACATGCAAGTTGTAGAAAGGCTTTCAGACAGTATTTGCACTTGAGGAAGAATGGTGCTAGAGGAGTAGGTTTGGCCACAGTGTTATATCACTCAACACATGAGCAATATATAACCTTGCATGCTGGGATTTCTTCATTTTCTTAAAAAAAAAAAAAAAATCTGAAAAATTTTTGGAAGATAACACATCTTAGGTAGCATAGACTTCAGTGATGGAAGAGTTGTAATTTCTAGGTTGTTAATCTGAACACTAAATAAATGGGATGTTCTTGGTGGAACTGTAATAGTAAAAAGTTAGCAAAATACAGAAATGGCCATTGGTATCATATAAAAATAGATTTAAGCGGTCTTGTATTGAGAACATATTCTTCTGTTGATGTCACTTAAAGTTTTTGTAAGCAGCATGTATGTTTTAGTCTTTTTCAACCATCAAAGTGTAATATTTCTACTGAGAAAGCTTCTATTTAATAGAGTATTTTGTGACGTGTTAGGATTCAGGTAAAGGAGAAAAGTGATCCAACGAGATTCAACGCAGTAATCTGTTTTTGTGAAATCCATCTTAATGAAACATGAAATACGAACATCGTGTGCAAGATGACCAAATTAGTCTGCTGTCTGGCTAGCCACTTGAAATTTGTATAAAATTTATATCTGATTAAAATGCAAGTATTTTGGTATGCCCCCCTTTAGATATTAAACAATCAGTTTCAGTCAGTGATTAGAAGTAAAAGTAATTTGCGGTGTCTGCAGCCTCATTTTTCCCCATGTTCATGTGGAATTGGAGGGTAACTTGCTGTATAAATTCAACGAGAAAGTTGATTACTTTGTGCCTTCTTTCCATTAACTATGGAGATGCAGGGCTGTCTGCTCAATGACATGCAAGCCTGGTTTTGGAACTGAAACCTTTAATTCTCACAGACTGTAGGTTAGTGATCTCGTACCTGCTATTATTTTAATAGGCATGTATGTGATGAGAAGGGCACCTGGGCCTTGATTTTTTTAGTTTACATTTATCGAAGAGTCTTTGACACTATAATTCTGTTCCTGTAGATAAAATTTGGCGTTTTGACATGGAAAAACAGTCTTGTAAGACTGTTCATGAAACTAAATGGGTGTGTTTATTTGTCTGTTTGAGGCAGCTACAAATTTGTGCAATGTGCCCTTATTGTCTATCTACTGTTTCAACAAATGATCTGAAACTGTTTATTTTAGTTCATAAAGTAGTACAGTACTTCTGCTATTTCTGAATACGTTACACTGCATAAGCCTTTGTAAAAATTGCTTTGTGAGATACAAAATAAGCTCTAGCTCTTAATTTTTTTCTGTTTTTTATTGTAGCATTTTCGTAGTCTGTTACACTTGGAACAATAGGCTATTGTGCAGTTTTTGTCTTCAGTGGAACTAATTTCATTTTAGCTTTACGTTTAGAAACATTGACAGCTTCATTTCATTATTTTAGCTCTCTAGTTCTGCAGCCTTGGAAGGAAAAGGACAATTAAAATTTACTTCTGGAAGATGGAGTCCGCACCACAATTGTACACAGATTGCAACAGCCAACGATACCACTGTTCGAGGATGGGATACACGAAGCATGAGGTAATGAGAAATTGCAGTCTTGTTCTCTAAAAAAGACAGTCTCCTTGGAGATTAATTTTTCATTGCTCCTAACATATTTTTTTAATTTTTTTTTTTTTAAAGATTAGAAATGTGGCAAAGCTATCACTTACAAAAGGAATGGCTGGGCTTGCGTAGCTGATACATTCACAATTTAGTAAAGGGGTTTCTCTGTTTTTTCCCCTCAGCTTCAATTCTAACTTGTATATTGAGTTTTACTGAACTGTGTACTAGTCTCAAGATGATTTGTTCAATACATAGGCATTACTTGAATGAAGCTGTTCTGTAATTCAACCTGAAAATGATTTAACATCAGTTTTGACTATACTATGAACTGTCTTCATAGCATACTCTTTAAAGGTAACTTTAATCTCTGAAGGTAATTCACAGGGTAAATTCACTCTTCACTTTTCTGATTTTAACAAATAGTATACTATACTATATTAAAGACTGTAGTATGCTAATTATATGAAAGTACTGAATCTATCAAAATCATAACCAAATCAATTAAGGCTTTGAATATACCTAATAAGGTGTTTTTCCCCTCTGCCCAGTTGTGATTTCGATAAGCAAAGGAGTGATGTTGTGCATATCTGTTGCCATGACTACTAAAGCCTGTGCAAGCTTTTTTAAGATACGCTTTATCCCCTTAGCACATAGTAATTTATCACTAAACCGAGAAGACTGATGTCTTGTAATAACTTTTGTTGCCTTAAAGGGGGATGACTTTAAATTTAGTTCTATGGTTCCTGCCAGCTCAGGGGTGTAGCAATAAATCCCCATGTTTGCCAGTCTTATGTGTTTTTGCTAAAAAGGTTTATTTAATTTAATAAACAAAAGCTGAAAATACAAATATAATCATTAAGTCACTTCCTGTACACTTGTCATCAGGTTTGAGAGTCCTATTCTTTGTCCTGTAAAAGGATATATAAAAATCTAACTTCATATATATGTGTATACTTTCATTTATGAAGACTCTTTTAAAAAAAGTATACAAGAGAGGAAAGAAAGGTCAAAGGAGAAAGGTGGTGGGGTTTTTTTAAGTGGCTTTTTTGTGATGTTTTTGTAATCATCCTATTCATAACATATAGCATGCAGACCTTAAGATTAAAGCCCGTGTTTCTAAGTAGGAAATGTTAAATACTGTGAAGTCTGCTTCATGCTCTGTCTCATTAGAAAAAGCATCTCTATCTTGCATTAAGTGAATACTCTGAGTAACTTTTATGAAAGAAAGGTAGTCCAGATATTAACAAGATCCTCAATGAAAGGGTAGCTTGGTTAACAAAAGCAAACCCCACAATTCTAATTACTTTAAGTGAAGCTCAGATTAGATAGTCCTTGAACCAATTTACAAGTACTAGGCTATGCCAAAGAGCTGTTTGCAATCTACTTGAAAAATATGTGCAATAAGTCTCATCTGCAATTACACTGTAATGTGTCTAGAATGACGTGAATATTTGATAATGGCTAGTTAAGCTAGAGGTAGGAGTTTAAAGTCAGGGCAGTATAAACTGTGGCAGTATAAGAAGCAAAAAATGGGGGGGCGGGCGGAAATCAAGGACAGAAAATTGCTATACCAGCAAAGAATAAGAGAAGAGAGATACTAAAGAAGTAGCTAGAATAGCTGCTTCTGCGGAGTGCAATTATGATAGCTGTAAGATAGAGGGAGTGAATTATTTCGGACATAGCAAACGGGGCGGGGGGGGAGGGCCAAAAAAGAGGTTGGTGGGAAGACTCCCAGACTAGACTAGGAAGCAATCTTAATCAGAGAAGAGCTTGTGAAGCAGAGGAGACAGACACCAGGCCAAATGGATTTAGAGAGAGAATTGTATCAGGAAAATTCAGAGTCCAAGAATAAATTCTAAAAAATATGGAAGAAAAAGAATATGCGAACGTGGAGCCAGTAGCTGGAGAAAATATTCATGCGGTCTGGCCTTAACCTTATGATGTAAGTGGGAAATTCAATGCAGGTATTATTGCTGTAGGTAGGATGATTGAGGGAAAGAAAAGCATATTCATATTTGGGAAGGAAAGGGATCGAGTGGTCAGAATAATAGTTAAATTGGGCTAAAGGCTTTCATGGTAAGCACTACTGAATGTACGGTGGACAGTGGTACTTCTTTATAAGCCCTTGCACACATCCCCATGAGCAATGCAAGAAGTGCAAGAAAGAAGTGAAAGGTGCAATAAAGAAGGAAAGAAGTGTTTTATTGCTTCAAGCATGCTTGAGATTTTAAAATTTTCCCATAAAGATGTTTCAAGAAATTAAGAGATAATGTTGAATTCAGATCCCAGAATACCTGGTAGAAAGACATACTTGAGTGATATCCTTAACCTCTCAAACTCTGAGCAGAGTGTTGAAGTTGAATATCTAGGTGATATCCTCTATCCCAAGTGACTACCATAGCTGTCAGGATAGGGCTTAGTATAGGCCTGGTATACTTTGAATCTCTCCTTATGGAGCTACTTTGCTTTGTATTAGTAGTTAGGTATTTACTATGTTTTCTGAAGAGAAACATTTTTCATTTAAAAAAAAAAGAAAAAAACTCACAAAGTGTTGACAAGTTCTAGTGAAGATTATAGGAGACTGTCAAATCTAATCATAACTTTGGTAAATGGTGGCTTTGAGAATGGACATGGGAACAGGTACAGCCTTTTCATAAAACTGATAATGCAATAGTGGAAACAAACAAAAATCCAACCCTAAGTTCAAGAGGTGAGGTATGAAGACAAACTGATGGAACATGATGTTTTGAATAAGAACGCTAGGTTGTTAGCAGTACTACAAATGTTTTCTGAAGTGGTCCACATGCATGAGTATGAGTAGTTTCAGGGCCGCAGGTAAGTTGATGATAAATGCCAGAGCTCAAGAAGGTAAGTTCAAAATAGAGCAATAATAAAAAGCTGTTGTTCATATCTGTTGCCTCCCTTGCACCTCAGCTTTTCATATAGGGAGAACTAGATGTCATAAATACAGAATCGGTATAACTACTCAGGGGTGGAGAAGCTCTTGTCTGAAAATGTTGTGGTTTAGTAGCAGACATTTCATAACAGTTGTTAGAGAGCTGTGCTAGAATCATCTGGAACTACTGTTTCCTTTTAGCTCCAGATGATCCTAATGCAAACAAGGAAAGAGCAAAGCTTCAATGCAAGCTGAGAAATCTATACAAGTCACTGTTGCTAACAGCTGGGATTTCCCTAAACTATGCACTAGCAATGGGAACTCTAGGTCTGCGGGTGCTAAGGGGATTATGCAAGTTTCCAGGGAAACAGATTCCTGTCAGTGGAGTGCAGTTAGCTGTTTATAGACCATTTAATTTTTTTAATGTGTTTTACAGGCAGATATATTGCATAGAAAATGCACATGGACAGCTGGTACGAGACCTAGACTTTAATCCCAATAAACAGTACTACCTGGCTAGCTGTGGAGATGACTGCAAGGTGAAATTCTGGGACACGAGAAATGTCACTGAACCAGTGAAGACACTAGAGGAGCATTCCCACTGGTAGAACAAATTATCTGCATGCTGTTTTGTGGGTGGATGGCTTATGTAATTTATTCAGCTAATTATTTTACTGTTTAGGAGCAATGCAAACTATGTTTGTGCTATTGTGAATAATCGTTTTTCTACATGGAGGAAAGCTTTCAACATGTGAATGTTCCTTGTGTGATTGTAAATTAAGAGTTTAGACAATGTTAGTCTAATTGGCAAGAAACTGTTGTTAGCATTGTTGGGAGATAGGGTACACCTTTGAGAAGCACAGCACAGAACCTGGCTTGAAGAGGCCAGCTGGGACACAGGTGTGCCTTCCCAAACTGAGCCTGATCTGCTGCACCTGGTGTGCAGAAAAGCCCTTGAGCTGTTTTGGTTAGAGCAGCTGCCATCCATCCTTCTGTTGTCGAATGGTGGAAATGCTCAATAATTCAGCCCTGCTTTTTTCATGCTCTTTGCAGCCCTTAAGCCAGAATATGCAAGTGAGTCATTTTATTCTCTGAGATAATATTTAGAGCCCGTATCTACCACTCTGGCCTGTGGCTGGAACAAGGAGAGAATCTTGTCAGATGTTTGCAGTATTCAGTGGTTAAGAAAAGGAGAGCAGTT